CTTCCCGGAAAATGCTGTTTTGAGAAAATCGAAGGTAAAGTTTTTGCCCCTTGCTCAGTTCCTTTAAGGGGCAAGGAGAGTTTTCTCTATAACCAAAATATATAAACACCAATGAAACCAAACTTCCTCTATAGGTAGGGCAATGCTCACTTTTGGTGTGGGTCAAGATATCTGGAAACCGCAGAAATCTGGGTTAGCCCGCTCGTTCTTAAAGGCGACATTTAGACGTTTAACACAAAAAACGGCAGTTTTGTATTTGAGACTTTCTTTTACTGGCAGCCAATGTAGTTCTTTCTGAATTGGTGTTACGCCTGGCGATTTCTTTCGTTATATTATCAATTTTCCTGCTTGATTTTGGAGTTCTTGTAACTTTGACAATTTTTCGGCCGTCAAACCGGATAAAATAGCATTGCAGTAAATCAATTTTGACAAAAGCAGTGTTGTTACACTCTTGGCTGATACTAAAGTTAAGTAATTTAAGTACACTACCAATTTTTTACAGTTGAAAATAAATACTTTTGCTGAGTTGGGTAATTTGGGAGGACATCCATGAACATATCTTGGAACCATAATATTATAACAATTACTTTATACACTTACAGCGTTCCTCACATTTTCCCCCGGTTTCTCTGTCTCTTTCTGTTTATCATATCACCAAATCAATGGCTTTATGTAGGTAAGGCAGATGGGGTTTTTTTTTAATTCTTTCTGCACAGTTTTAAATAATTGGTCATTTATAACAGTCGCAGGAACAATGTGTGTCATCGATACATGGGTTGGAAGACATGCAGGGTGATTTAAAAAGACAATAACTTTAAAACTTTTTTTTTTCATAATAACTTTTTTTCTGAATACCACACTCAAAATTTGTACAAGAAGGTTGTAATTTGGAACCCCCCAAAAAAAATTCGTTTGACTTAGATTTAATTTCATAAGGAAGAAACCTATTTTCAAAAACGAAAACGGCTTTTTAAAAAAAAACACCCATGGCCTGTTAGACCACTGGGGCTTGCAATATATCGCGATTGTAGGGATTTTCATTGGTAGGCCTAGTGCGAACTTGAGCGTCATGAAGCAAAAATGGGACATAGTTGAAAACGTGTTGTTTTACGCGCAACGCAGAGCAAAACAGTAATTCTATAGATTTTTAAAATGAATAGCAGCCAAATTCCTTTGGACTACAAAATGAGTACATTTTTTTCACGAAAAGCTTCAGTGTGGAGGAAAATATTTATCTCCCAAAAAGAAGTAATTGATTTTTAAATTTTTTTATTTTTTTATTATTTTT